TGACACAAACCCGATGGAATGGTCGTCAATGCATATGGATCGGCGCCAAGGTGGGGGATGCACACATCCTTGATGTAGGCCAGTGCTTCTTCCTTCGAGGTGAGGTGAAGGTGTTCCATCTGAGGTTCCTTGTCATCTGATCATCACCTGCCCATGACAAGAAATCGTCAACGTCCGATAACCTGAACGGTCGGAGGGTGATGCTCGAAAAGTCGATGACATTAGAACCCAAAAATGACTTCGACCAGAGCAATGCTTATTTCTTTTCGGCCTTGACCTTGGCAATGTTGATACAGCCCATATACTAAGATAGTTCCTTGACTGGTTAGAATATTATATTCTTGATGGAGTTACTGGAGGTTATATATTAAATCAAAGATGGTCTTCATGTTCATACAAGAGACTCCCCTCAACAAAGAGAGGTTATAGAACCTTGATTTGAAATCAAAACTTAGGAGATATTCGCTAAGTTGATATTTGCTAATTATAAAATCTTGATTTAAGATCAAGTTTAGCAATTGCGAAACAGCTAACAATAGAGGAAATAATATAGGAAACTTCCTACAATCTCATGCTCCATATGAAACGTCTTGCCTCTTCAATACATATATACCCATAACTTTATAATTCTTACCAGATTGAAAACAGAGATGGCATTTCTCGAGCTAAGACGGATATCCAGTCCGTTAATAACCCATAATCTATAAACCAACAGTTTCCTAGACAATTTCTAATGTCGGAAAATTTATGAAACTACAAAGAAAATTCCATGGTGTTAGATTTTAATTTTATCTCTGCATACCAGATTTAAAGGTTTCTATTGTTAATGGAAATATTATATTATCAGGACTGCCATCCATCTGACCATTCAGCTTCATCAGCGACAGGGTTTTCTTGAGAGGAAGAATGATCCCAATTCCCTGCATTGGAGCAGTACGAATCCTCAGGTCCACTATTTACCTCAGCTCTGGGTTCAGCTGCATTATACTGTCTTTCAGGAAGTGGGCAACCTTGATAGGAGTTATTGTCAGAACAACGCCACAACAGCTTCTCCCAGTAAGGATCCTGCCAAAGACAACAAATGCTATTAACATTAACAAGACAAGAAGACATAAGCTAAGGTCAAGTGCATGCCTCAAACTTCAGAACTTGGAACAGATATGGAAGTACCTTACTGACAATGTGAGGATTTCCAACAACTATGAGCAAGGATCTGGCCCGAGTAATTGCAACGTTGAATCTCTTTGGATTGCTGAGGAATCCGAGACAGTAAGTTCTATCAAACTCCTTGTGTTTGACAGTTGATCTCACTGTAGATACAATAATGACCTCCCTCTCTTGTCCCTGAAATTGTTCGACACTGCCAACTTTGACATCTGGCGAGTCCCAGGTTTCAAGAACTTTCTTTATCTTGAGCACCTGCTGGCGGTAAGGTGTTATTACACCAATATCTGCCTCATTTAGATCAGCACTCGATCTCAATTTATTGATGATATCAACAACCTTGCTTGCCTCAAATCGGTTAAACCATGATGGATTATTTCCTTCCCTTTCATCACAGCCTTGAATGCCAACAAACAGAACAGGAAACTGTTTGTTTGGGAAGAAATCTACCTTTGAAAGTATGGAGAAAGAGTTATCTTCTTTACATGCAATCAAGTCCCCTCCATAAAAAAGCCTCGAAGGAAGGTCTAGAATTGCTGGGTGACAGCGGTAATTTCTCACTAATTTTGTTACAAAAGCTTCATCTTCGCTCTCATAGAATTCACTTTCAAACAGCCTTTGAAGGTATGATTTTCCCAATCCAGAATTCTCTGCATCTCTTGAATATACCACAGGACCAAGTTGCATTGGATCTCCAGCAAGTACAACTACTGTGTCCTGTTGACACAGGTTGGATATAGGAACCATGGTTTCTGGTTCTGAAGCTTGGCCAGCTTCATCAAGGAAAATGTGTGAGAAATGACCACGTTCAAGTCCTTCTGAGTGGAGTAGAGAGGAACTCATATATGTTGATATGATGATTCTGTATCGCTTCAGGGCTTTCAGTGGGGGACAACTGAAAATGGACTCCCCAAAATAGCAGAAGCGGATGAAATCAGGTGAAACATCCTCATAGGAACGGCTAGTTGCATTTAGCCTAAATATTTCACTCTCTTTAACTTCAACAGCCTCATTACAAACAAGTCTCTCCAGTATGTGATCTGCTGCACTGTTTGAAGCAGCACACACAAGAATTCGACCATAATTTCTTGTTTTATATATCTGTAAGATTGCTTCCACCAAAGTCATTGTTTTGCCAGTGCCAGGAGGCCCATAAATTACATAGGGAGGAGCTCCTTTGCAACCAAGAATCATCTCAACAGAATGCATTTGCTCCTCATTCAGACTACATGTAAGAGGCACGAATGGCTTGGTCTTAATTAATTTCCTTTTTGTTGAATGTGATGGAAAGAGAAGATCATCCTCTAGATTCTCAGCTGCTTCAACAGCTTGATACAACCTCCTCATGTTCATACGATTGTATGTGAATTGGACATTGTACAAGTTCCCATTTGAATGGTGGCTGTGGAAGTCTTTGGCGAATCTCAAAAGCACTTCATCAGCGTCCACACGGTAGATGTAACCCTGAAATACACCGTGAGTCTTTATGTGGCATATAGAATGCAATGACAATGATATTTTGGAAACTTAAGAAACCAAGGCATTTTGTGAAAGTACTCATGGAATCTATCAGTCCTTGTGGAACAGAAAAAGAACACACACACACATATATGAGTAGGGATCCACTTACACAAAAGTTTTACACACCACACTTACACAAAATCTCAATCATTCATCTCTCCAATTTTCATGGTTGTGATTTATTCACATTTATTAAAGATAATTATATTTTTCACCTCAAAAGTCATGACAAATCTCAACCATTGAAAGTGGAGAGATGAATGGTTGAAATTTTGTGTAAGTGTGGTGTGTAAGACTTGTGTGTGAATGGATCCCTCCTTTATATATATATATATAATAGGATACTATAATCTGCAAATACATTAAGAAAATTAGAACCTGGCAGGGGAAAAAAATATAAACTTCCCATTCATGTAAAGTTCCAAGCCACCAAAAATAACAGAATACATAAACAGAGAAATTGTGTTTACCATTTTTTTGATATTGATCAATGTGAGGAAAAGCTTCCAAATTATGGCAATAATACATACCATTGCTTGTTAATTAGCAATATATCATCTTCAAGTTTTGTTTTATGTCTGTATAACGCAGGTTATCAGAGGACTGCCCATGTCAAGCAGTTAGGAAAGGAAGGTTGAATAAAAGGGGATTATGCATCCTAGAAAGAGCCATAACTGCAGCCTTCACTTAGAGAAAACTAGGTTTTACAACACATATCCCACCTTTTCCAAAGATATCACTTCAACAAACACATTATTATAAGAACTAATAAATGAAACTCTGACAGATATATGAGTGCATAAAAATTTTAATGTTTTTTATGTCACAAGTTCTTTAACATTTGATTAAAATTAAACTGCATCAATGCTTCATTTGGAATAGTTGTTTCTTGTTGAAAGAGGGGAAAAAAACCTGATAAACAGAAACATTCCCAGGATCATTGGAGGCAAGCTTTGCAAAAACAAAATCACCATGTACAAGTGAAGGTCTCCTTTCAGCTAGCCCTGGGACCTCAAGTGCCACGAATTGTGCCCCTTTTCTCCTCATAGAGACACATTCCATGTTATAAGCCTTCATTTCTTCCTGGAATCAAAACAATGCATGTTAGAACATAAAGAAATACTATTGCCACTGCCACTTAACTGGTTTGATAGCTAACATTTACCTCTAAATGTAGCTCTTCCATTATAAGCAATGTGCTGAAGAAGGAAGCATAATTCTTTCTTACTAAATCTTCTGTAAGAACATCAGGGACTTGCTTATTCTCAATTAACTCTCTAACATCTTTTGGGATTGGATATTTGGGAAGCCTATTCTTATAATATCCTTGAGCAGCTCTCCTAGCAGGACGGGAAGAAACCACATACTCATCAACAGCAAATTGGTTTCTTCTTCTTGGAGCTCTTCTATATGGATTGCTGGAAGCTAGAGACTGAGAGACCCTGTCTTCAGCCAGTAAAAAGACAACTCGTTCAATTCTATCATCCCCAACGTCAAAATGCACCACAGTTGTATGCAAACCCATCTCCTTT